AATTGGATCCTCCATGCTGATTATTAGAAAGCATGCATGTGATGCAGTTGTGTTTCTAAAACATATGGGTTCAAGCCTAATAATAGTATACTATCCCCTTAAATGGTGATACATTATATCTTTTCCTCTTTTGCAACCTTTCTGCTCAGAGGTTAAACTGATTATCCTGCAGCACACACATGTACTGTAACTGGTATCACAAAAAAATAACAAAAACTCTCTTGTACATTCCTACTCCTTAAAGTTATATTTGATTCTAAAGTTAATGCTGAATTTGTCATGAACATTTTTGTTTTTTATTACATCTATATATAATTGCAAACCTCTTCTACATATTTTCCTACGGATCATCACAATGGAAACACTTGCAACAGATCAGGGCATGTCATCTGATTCACCTACTGTAACTCATTTGGCTGCTAGTAGCTACTTGAGGATTTCATCAGGCCATTTCTTGAAGGAAGTCAGGGTTTCAGCTTGGTGGTAGATGGGCTCCCACGACACTAAGGAACAGTACTGTCCATAGAATAACTTTGATTAGAATATTTTATACAAATTTGATTTTCTTTTAATAAAAACTACTGGATGGTCTCAAACAGGTTTTCTTGGGTGGTTAGCTGTTGTCAGTGAGCAAGATAAAATGGAGAATACAGTAGGTGCTCAAGGCATCTTTTTTTTTCAACAACACCATTGTCCACCTCCTGTCTCTCCCAGGATGAGGAGTCGTTATCACGTCAATGGTCTTATTTGCATACTAACTTTCAGTCAGTGGCTATTGTCTTCATAACCACACATTAGCACATGGTAAGATGCCCGTGGTAAGGACGTCTATTAATCAAATAATGATGATAATTTGTAAAATAAAGATTCATTAAAACTGGAAATATGTGCAGATGTGTTTAAATAGGCCAAAGTCCAAGCAAAACTAAAAAATAATTCAGAAGAACAAGTAAAGGTTTATTCAATGCTGAAAAGAGAAGAGGAGAAACACAACTGTGGAGCTTTCTGTACAGATTTCATTGTTATGATATCATTCCTAAATGATTTCGTCTGAAATTTAACACTTTTTCCTTTGACTCTGTCACCACCCAAGCAACACTCCTAGTCTTCTACAAAAATTTCGAGGTCACCTGAAGAAGGCTCCACATTGTGTTTCTTTTCCTCTCTTTTCAACATGGAATAAACCTTGACTCCCTTTGCAGCCTATGCATGCTGACGCAGCTACCTACTTGAACTAAATAAAATCATTCTCTGAGGATGTAACTTATGATATCAATGACTTAAATAGAGATCCAAACAAACTGGAAGGAATTTTTAGTCATGGCTGTTGCAGCAATATTACTAATAATGAATATGAAATGACATGAAAAAAGCAAATCTCTGTGTTGGGACATGGGGCCTTCCCACACATTCCTCAATACTCAAAATGAGTTTTATTGTCTTTTTTTCCACTTTCTTTATAAGGAAATTACATATAGTATTGTCAAAGATAATTCTTTGTTTTAGTTTCCAAGAATGTCAAGCTCTTGGCATATAATATATGCTCGATAGTTCATGAGGTCTAAGGTCATAACTTGAAACATGAATTTCTCATTTGATTCATAATAATGTTACACTTGTAATATTTCAGACTATCAGACTACATGGGAGATAATGTTCTTTATAATGATACAAATATGTGGATTTTGAATATACAAATGTATTTCTTTTATAAGGACCTTCCTATATCCTGTCCATGGATACAAACCAATGACATCTGAAAATGACAGCATTTTCCTTCTAATCAAGCACCTTTTCACCACCAATTTTATTATTCATATCCATTAAGACACTTAATCCATCTTACATCAGTATAAATGTTTTAATAAAGGTTAGATGATTCTAAATGAAGTATCTTAACAAGTGTTTCCTGTTCTCCTGTTCCATATGCATACAGAAGGCAATTCAAAAGGTAGATCTAAGAACAGACATTATCCAGTCAAGTGCACCTTTTTTGCTAAATAATATTAAACACTGTGGAGCTTAATAACAAAATATACAAACTACCAAGTAATAACATTGCATGTGTAAAAATAGCTCAGTTTTGTGTAATTTATTGAATATACTGTATACCAGACAATGTGATTTGAGTCACGTCAGTTTACATCTGCATTTGCTAGCTCAGAATTCCCCTAAACCAAGCACAGTTCAAATATTAAATTTAGTTTAATTTAAATTACCTTACAGTAACGTGTATTTATTATTCGATACAGATATCACACGTGTTGCTTTCTTATTTTATAGATATTTTGCAATTACACACCTCTGCAACTAGGAAAACATTTAATAACTTTACATTACTGTCAAGTCCTGAGCGTGGCAACGCTTGTTAACAGCATTCCAATTGAAACTGCCCTGACCCTGCTGAAATCACTACTAAACCTATTCTTTACCAGCGAAAAAATAAAATATTTTAGAGTACATGTAGCTAATAATATAACATGTATTTGTACTGCTGCCATATTTAGCAACGTACTTCTTAGGTTTTGATACTGGGCTCCTGGGCTCCTTGAAAGTATGCAGCAGCAATATAACATAGACAAGTGGATTAAAATTTATGAAAATACTGTACATTTACAATGTCAATTTGCATAGTTAGAAACAAGGACCAAAAATAAACTTAAACATTAAAACATTAACTTGAAATGCAAATACAATTTGCATAGTTAGATTTGCATAGTTAGAAACAAGGACCAAAAATAAACTTAAACATTAAAACGTTAACTTGAAATACAAATACACCGGAGAAGAACTACATTTCCCACAATTCCGCTAAAAAGAATAGGCGCGTAATAACCGTATTCTGCCCTTTTGAACAAAAAGACATTGGTGATTGGTTGGACTGACGAGGCACCCTCTAATTATCTAGAAATGTAATTGGCTCGTAATGGAGTTCCAGGTCCCGGATGTTGTACTTTAGCTTGCATATAACAGAGAGAAGGCGGGATATGAGTTTAAATCAGGCAGAGAGAGGAGAGTGGTGGTAGCAGCGCGCATATTTTGTCATTGTAGTTACTGACTGGAATAAAATGGTAAGCGGTTTTCGTAACTGTGTTAGAAGACCTCGATCTTGCACCGTGTATTCCCAATGTAGGTAAATTGGGGTGGAACTACTGAAGACAAGTTGCATCGTGGCGCACCAGGACGCAGTTGGCGTCTGTTTTGCACATACGCTTGCCTCTTGGCTCGTGGCGATTGAAGTTAATCTGATTAGCCTTCGTTTTTGTTTTGTCCTTGCATTTCCTATCTTTGAGCAGTACTGATCTGCTACAATGTGCTTTTCAGGCTGGAGGGAAAGCAGGGAAGGACTCCGGAAAGACCAAGACAAAGGCTGTTTCGCGCTCGCAGAGAGCCGGGCTGCAGGTCTGTATCGCGTCTCTTCCTCTGCAGTGGAAGCCGGCAAAGCTTGTGGATATGTGGTGTTGAACTAGTGAAAAGCGTGTGTGGTGTGTGTGTGTGTGGGGGGGGAATCCGATTCATGTGGATCGCGATAATGCGGAAGTGAGGGGTACAAGTTTTTCAAAGACACGCTGTAGTTCATATTTTGTTGTGTAACCATATCAAAACTGTACCTTAAGTGGGGGGGGGAATATCTTGCTAATCGGGAGAGACTAACGCCTTTTCTGCTTGTTTTCCTTCTCATTGGTAGTTTCCAGTGGGTCGTATTCACCGGCATCTGAAATCCAGGACCACGAGCCACGGGCGTGTGGGGGCCACCGCAGCGGTGTACAGCGCGGCCATTCTGGAGTACCTGACCGCCGAGGTGTGTTGGCTGCTTACGGGCAGAACCTCTGTAGGGCAGGAGCTACAGTGAAGGTGTATTAATTGCTTTATGTCGAATCCACGCTGCTTCCTACTCCCCTTCTCTATCCGTTCAGAAGTGCCAGGCTCCTTGACATGTGCGGGGACTGCATTGCTGGTGGTCCCCCTCCCCATGGCTGCAGCAGAGGCGGGAAGGCAGCGGGGACACTGGCGATAAAGACACCCTTTCTGTCCCCCCCCCAGGTTCTGGAGCTGGCAGGAAATGCGTCTAAAGACCTGAAAGTAAAGCGCATCACTCCGCGTCACTTGCAGCTGGCGATTCGAGGGGACGAGGAGTTGGACTCGCTCATTAAGGCGACCATCGCGGGTGGTGGTAAGGAGTACTTTTGTACTGTGCTAGCCCTCCTCTTCATTTGTGCAGATGTGCCACGTTTGGTAGACGGGAGCACTTAAACGGTTCATAAACAATAAGCAAGGCAGAACTCTCTGCTTTTTTTAAAAAAAAAATATTTCTGTAGTATAACATCGCCTGTGTGAAATTGAAACCATAATTGATTTGGGGGGGGTTCTAAACTAATTTTAATCTGGTTACTTGGCTTTTCTTTGCTTATGTCCTATACGTGACCTGAGATCTGCCAATACCACAAGTGAAATACTTGAAGAGTGGAGAGACTGCTTTTTGTTTTTATGCTTCTAAATGATGGAACTCCCTACAACGTTTTATTAGGCAGTCAAGCTTGGTACATTGTTTTAAAAAGCGTTTGAAAATATATTTTTAATTTAGCTTTTAGTTAAAATGGTTCTTTGTTCTTTCTATTTCTTTTATTCTTATTTTATTATGACTTTCCTCATTTCTATTTTTCCTTTTCAAGCATAAGTTGACATTTGTTGCTTTACTGATTATAGTTTTCCTTTACAACTGAAAGTAGGTTTCTTCATTTTAAGTTTTTTTTATGCTTGGTTTGGAAAGCACTTTTGCTGCTATTTGAATGAAAGGTGCTCTATAAATAGTTTTTTTTTTAATGTCCTTTGACATTCTCAAATACCAGGGGATGTTCCCTATTTATAACATGTTTGCTCTTCAAAACATCTGTGTTTTGGAGAGGAGAAATGGGAAGACTTCTGTCCACCTTGATTTTGAGGTCTTTAGAAAATGACACCAGTTTTCACTGATGCACAAGCCCTTTAATCTGACCTGGAAAAGTGCAGGCCTTAACACTCTGAAATTGAATTTTGTCCACAGGTGTTATCCCTCACATCCACAAGTCGCTGATTGGGAAGAAGGGACAGCAGAAAACTGTATAATTCAAGCTGACGCTGGCCAAGCTATCTCAGGACTAATGGTTTAAAGGGTTGTTCTTAAAGAGCATGAGACTTGTTCCGCTTTGTATTAGACTTTTTAAATTGTTTTGAGCTTTGCATATTCTCATTTCTGAGGTATTTTAAATACATTGGCTTCAAAGAAGCCTGATTTATTTTAATACTAGGTTGAGGTACTGCAGCAGTATTGTTTCCTATTTAATGTGTGATCCAGGAACTGATTTGTTCTGTTAAATTTAAAATCCGCTTTATATGATTGAAGTTTTGTCCTGGAATAAAGTTAAAGTATTGACTGCTTTGTTTCCAATGCTATAAAGCGTTATGATTTTGGTGAATTTGGAAATGCATGTTTTGAAGTACAGTATATTAAGTAGTTTGAAGTACTTGGCAGCACATGTTTAAGATATTGTATCTCCAAATATCCACCTGCATAAGAATTATCAGTTGATCAGTTTTGTGTGTAACCACACTAGTTCCTGTTTCTAGCTGAGAAACCTACCTAAAATGTTTTTTTTTCCTATGGTTTTGACTTGCACAGTCCACCATGGGAGATCAGATTATCTGAGCAGCTGTACAGGAGTCTTGAAATATTAAATACACTGGTATTTGAATAATGGTAGGCTGTATGTATTGACTAAATTGACACCAGTTTCTCAATGGGGTGTTTACAAAGAAAGCTTACTATAAAAATCCTGTGAAATATTTGGACTATCTTGTCCTAATGTTTGGTTAAATGGTCTGTGGTAATATTGACTTAAGTATGCATCAACTCCTTACAAAGAAATGCATAAAAAGCTCAGGTCACTTTTAAAGTTAATGTTCTGCAATTGTTTAAATTCTGTTTTCACCTGTTAAATGTCTGACTTTCCATCAACTGTATGTTCCAGGTTAATTAAATACTAATCAAATGGCTTAGAGCTCAGCTGGAACAAACTTGGGCTGGGTGTTAGAAATCTGTATTAGCAGTGTCAGCATGTCTGCAATGTTGAGTAGTTAAGACTGCACTTTGAAAGCTAAGATTATGGATGGGATGTTGCCATTTTATCCTTAAGCAGGGTACTTCACTCAAATTGTTCCAATAAATGCCTTGTTCTAGAAGTGAGTCTCATGTTTGTTGTAAATTAAAATTTCTCACCGGACCTGGTTAGTGTAAGCATGTATGATCCTAATATTTGTTCCCAGCATGAATTTTGGCTCCCTTTACAATTAAGGCTTTAAGAGGGAGTGCAACCGACTGTCCCATGCTGTTGGATTTGTTTGGCTTTCAAAGCTTGTTTTTTTTTTTTAAATTTCTTTCAGCTCCTTTAAAAGGTGGCTTGGTATTTCCAATTCTAAACCTTGTTGCCAATTCAAGAGGTTACAGACAAGTAAATTGATTGTTCATTGATCTAGGTGTCTTCACAAGTTCTTTCTGGGAAGAAGCCAGGGTTTGGGCGAGTATGATCTGGCTACCCACAACCCTTTGGGCTCCTGATTTAAATTCACATCTACCATTTCCAAAGATGGCCTCTGGGTTTATTTCACATATACTGAAGTTACCTGGATTACTTGTCAGTACCTTTCTAAACTTTTGAATACTGGTATCAAGTTTTCCTTGATTCTCTCATATCCCTCCCCAACTGTTTATGCTTGCTCTTCGTATCATTTCCAGAGAAGCAATATCTTTTTAACCTTGGGGCAAATTGGATGGGGGTATTTTTATATAAAGAAGGTCTCCTAGTGCATTGTACAATTTTTTGCATCCTTACATAGTAGGATAACTGCATCAACCCCAAGATCTCTTCAGAAATTTAAGCCAATAACTATTTTCTATTTGTATTGATACCTGCATTCCAATATCGTGTACATTAAATGTTCACCGACCAGCTGTTTGCCCCGTCTTGAATTCATTTAGCTACTTATACAGTCTTTACTAAAAATGGCTTCACTTAAAGTTAACTTAAACTGGTGGTTTGGAACCAACCAATTTAGGTAATGGGTTAAGGCTCTGGTCATGGGAAGAATGTATCATTTCCACTTGTTCATAATGAAGTGATAAGTTAATGGCTTATTAAATACATTCATTCTTTGTACTTAAATTAAGGGAGCACATTTTAAAACTAGTTGGAGAAGATGTTTAGCTATTCAGAAACAATACATGTGAAATTTAGTATTTGTAAACCAATATTTCATGTTTTAGTTTTCTCCAGGATACTTGCTTTATTACCACTGTAGTAAATCTTTGAAAGTAATTCCAGTTCTTGGAGGCCTCCACACTTGCTTTATTGTTGCAGCCAAGCTGTTTCTCATTGAACACTTATTTGACTTTTATATTTTAGCTGTTGAGTGGTTTTCACATATATATGGGTGCACATATATTAATCTATTAAAGAATCTTTTACTGGAGTGGGTTTCTGTACATTTTATTCTACATCTCTAAATGATTAAATGAAATGCATCACCTGTTTCATTGACAGTAATTGTTCAGTCTTGGGAAGCAGATATACCAGGTTACCATTAAATCAACTGGATTGGGGCTCCTCTGGAGGGGCCCAACTTGAGCAGGAATGTACAGTCCTGACCCTACAGTCTTGCAACCTCTGCATGTTTTCATTCCACTGTAGTACTTAACCAATTCCTGCTGATGGTACTATTATACCTGTTGGATGCAGCAGTAATACCTGCAGTGGAGAGATGTACTGTAAAAACTGCTGGGGGGTTATTCTTCACCTTTACTGCCATCTGCATCCCTTTGGCTCTCAATATTGTTCTTGTCTCTCATCAAAAAAAGTAAGTTAGTTCTTGAAACCTAAGACCAATAGAATTAAGCTTTTTATTTTGATGTCAAATTAAGGATACATAGAAAAAGTTGCACTTTTTAGAATGATACATTTTAATTTTAAAGTTTAAATTTAAATACCCATGTTTGAAGCAAAGTAGTTGTCCTCCATGTGTTGGCAATGAATTTGTTTTGATGTACCTTCTAAAACAATCTGGCCTGTCGTTCTGCACCACAAAAAAAGAGCTTCTTGCACCCCAGGGGCTGCCTGAGCCTCAGGTTCAGGATGGCTGTTCTAGGCTGAGAGATGTGTGGTCACCGTTTGAGGCACCTCAGCCTTGGATGTTGAACTTTAGGTTTATGGACCGAAAAGCATGTTGTAGTTTCTGACCTTTTTTAGATTATTTTAGAATCTCCTCTAGGGGGAGTGTTTAGGCTCCAATACTGATTGTAATTGTGTGGACCCTAAATAGATTTCAAATGCTAGTTGAACATTACAGCCTTAGAAAAAGGTAGAGAAAGTAGATGGCAAAAGTCACTTTATTGCTATTTTTAGAGACTAGCATGTGATCTTCCTCTTTTTGAGGCCCATACACACTTCTAGGTGCAATGAATTAAAACTTTTCAGAATCTTAAATATATGTACATCTGTAAGAATATTTAGAGGCACATTTCTTATTTAATGAGAAACACAGCAATTTGTCTTCAGAGTAAGTGAACAAGTGACTACATACAAAGCTGAAGTTCTTGATAATTCTGTTAAACCTTGATTCAATAATTTGCTGGTTGTCAAACAGATTTTCTGAAACTAGAATGCCTACTCTGATAGCTTTTCATCAATCTTGTATATTGTGTTACCAGTAGGGGGCGCTCATATATCATGTAATACTTAAGAACGCTAGCCTGAACCTTAAGTAACATGGAGCACAAAACTGATTAACATCTATTAAAACGCTGAGAAACCTGATTTACAGTATAAAATATAACCTCCTTTGTTTCTTTTAGATCATAAATGGAAGGATTACACAACTGAACAGATATCTATATTCAGTTTTCATATTTCGTGCTATTTAATGATTTAATATAATTAGGCAGCAAAGAAATATTCTAACGGACTGTAATTTAATTGCAGGTGTGTCTACTATGGGGCTTAGAATTAAATCTCTTCTGTTGCCATTCTTTACTCAAATCATCTTCAATAATGGGTCTTATCATAGTCTTTAAGTGTTTTGAAAGCCCTCCACATGTTTGTGTAGTTTATTAGTTGCTTTGATTAAAAAAGTCTCTTCTGTCATTTTTTTATCTTAGTGTGGAGCTAATGTCCACATATACTGTCCACAGTATATTTTTTATTTAGATTTTTAATGGAATTAAAATTTTAATAGCTGTTTAAACTATGGTCTTCTAGCCTTAGATTTGTTTCACAAATACAGTCAATTGCATCAATGCCTCAGCTCAAAAGTGTTGGTTGCAAATATTGTTCTATACATTTTGTAACCTTTTCACTATCATATATTGTGAAGATTATATTCCCAATAATGGGAGGCACACAGCTGAAAGATGTTTTGTCTCCTAGTGTTTGAACTCAAATTCCTTTCACATCCATTTTCAGTTTTATCTTTAAAAGATACCTCATTATGGATCATTACATTTTTGTGCAAAAGGGTTAAAAAGAAAAGTATTTGAGCAAAGGAAATTCTTAAGTTTACTTTGCCTTTTTTTTTAAAAAAACTGGACAATTAATGACAAATTGCCATTCTAACACAGGTGTGATCTAGGGTCAGGTGAGGTAATTGTGCAGGTGTGTAGTATCACTCAAACACGTCTCTGCCTGATGGAGTCAGCACCAGTTTTCACAACATGAGCCCACATGCCTAAGGATACTCTGTAATGGCCGTGACAGTCTGAGACTGACATTCTTGTATAGCTTTCCACTACCCAAATAAAAGGCTTGTTTTTCTATTGAATTTTGAATGATATATTTTTTTTCTGCTCCTTAAAGGTGGGAGACAGTGTTTCTCCCTTTAGTTCAATACAAATGGCCAGCAGGCATGATGGGAACTTTATCCCAAAATTGGAAAAGCACACTTGAGTTGCCTCTGTCCTGACCAATTTATTTTCTCCCAGATTATGTCTTTTAGTGGTTTTGCAATGCAGTGAAAGGCTTACTTCGATGGGGATCCACTATTATTAACTTGGAGTTTCAAAGGGTACAAATTTCTGACAATGTGGGCACTCCAAGCAGGGTTGACAGAGCTTTTTTAGGTCAACCTTGGGAACAGCAGACCACCCAGGAAAAAAGACAGTCAAAGTCTTTCAATTGCTCCACTAGTCATCATAGCCAAGCCCAAAAGGAGAGAGGGCTCTTGGTTATTGACTATTTCCTATGGGGAAATGACAACAGAAATACAGTATTTTGAGTCAACAGTGATCCTGCATGCACATATGCAACTGTGCAGTCATTTAATGTTCAATACTTTGTTACTGCCCTATAGTATTTGAATACTATGGTCAAGCAAATGCTCAGTGGCTTCCTCACCAGTCCTGAATTGTATATTTGCATATTGCACAAAGTTTCATTCAAAGTGACTTGTAATTCACAATTGTTTTATGACAGACTGAGCAGCAGAATTGTTTCAGAGTACGTTCCCTATTTGCTTTATGTGAGGATTCCGTGAAACCTCTTGTTTAGTACTCAGCAATATTTCTTATTACAAAGCTTCTTCTGATTTTTATCGAATACCCTTTTGATTTGATTGTATTTAGATAATTCAAATAATTTTATCAACTCTTTTGTGAAATGGTGTTCTGTTCTTCTTCCCAGACCTCACAACATTTATGACCATTTAATTTCATCCAGCTGAGTGCTTTGGATTAGTATCTTGCTGTAGGAAGGTAAGATGCTGTTGTCATCTCTCTTTCTTATCAATGCTTCACTTAGATCAAGAAAACTAGAGTCAACTTTCCAAATTAACTTAAACCATTATTCCATATTCCAGTTTTTGCTTTCTTATGCATATTTGAGCCCTTTCCACCTCATTCCACTTTCATAACAGGTTTTCTTACTGAAACACATCTTTTAAGTCCCAATTTCAAAAGTGACCTTCATACTCTTGGTGGATGAATGATGAACCTGAGTTCTATCAGATTCTGTTATCAATTCAACACTATTCTCTATTTCCTAAAGATAATAGCTTAAAGTATTGCTTATCCCTGTTAGTCAGCTTTTAGAACCTTTACGTTTGGGTTGTTTTTTTAAATGACAGATGAGACTGCTTCATGCATGTTTCAGATACCACACCTTGAAAATCACGTAAAGATTTTCCCTCTTTATACAGGA